AGGTACTGTTCAACCTGGCGGTTTGCAAAGAGGACGAGAACCAGCTTTATATTATGTGGGATCACATTAAACAAGCGTTCGATTCAATTAATTACGGATACCCGAATAAGTGCATTGAAAGGCTTAACATGCTATCGTGGATCATCAGGTTTCTGAGAAGCATCACCTCCAGATGGTTTACATTGAAAAGCAGTAGAGAAACAATAATGGAGAAGAAAATATAACAAGGAATTCTTCAAGGTGATAGCCTTTCTCCGTTGCTATTCATCCTGTGCATGGACCCATAAAGTACCCAAAGGTGGCGTTCCAACTGATCAAGGAATGCACATTACGAATCATCTGTTGTTTTTAGATGATATCAAGATCTTTGCAACTGATGAAGATATCATGAAATCTATGGCATAAGAAGTTGGAAGGTTTCTTAATGTTGTAGGACTAGAAGTAAATTCAGAAAGTCAGCCACTAATACTGAGGTATGCACTGATAAAGCAGCGCTATTGGAAGGAACTCAAGGGTAAAAATACCTTGGAATAGTGGAAGGCAGGACTAGTGCACCTACCCGTGAAAGCTACGATAAAGTCTGTGCAGAGATTTTAGTGAGAATTGAGCGGTTATAGCCAAAACTGCACTAAATAGCAAGAACTTTATCAAGGCTGTGAATGAGCACGCCATAAGCCTAATAAATTATTTCGTCGGGGTGCTCAAGCTGGAGCCGGAAGACTCCAAGGCTATAGGCCACAATATCAGACAGTTACTAATCAAATACGGAATTCACAAGCAACTGCATGCTTGGAAAGACTGCACCTGCCAGGGGACGAGCTAGCATGTGGACTTCATAGTGTTGAGCAGAAGAGTGAGCTTAAGCTTCTCCTGCTACATAATGTTCTTATAGGTACCGCACCCATTTGTACCAGAAAAGCAGCGATTCTGAAGCAGGAGAAAGCTCATAACACTACTTGGCAATATTGTACCCTATTTAAAGACCAAGTACAACCTCGCAGAAAATCCTACCATTGAAAATGTATTAGAGACCCAGAAGCCGTTCTTGTGTAGCAAAATAGAAAAGAAAACCCACCATGCAAAGCTATGCAAGATGCGAACGAACAAAATCTCGTCCATAGTTGATTTAACAAAATGGCTTCGATACGGAAACATTACCCCGCAAGATGAGGCCACGATACCGTTATCTCCAAGATAGAAATATGTTTTGAGGTGAGAAAAGTATCTGCCAACATTGTGGGGAACGTGTGAAGACATTGGACCATCTAGCAACGCAGTGCGGAAAAATGTTACATCACAACTATACTAGAAGACACAATGACGTCCTACGGTGCATCATTCACTTGGGACTCTGCAAAAAGTATGGTCTGAAAGCATTCCTGAGCTTGCGAAGTCATTCTGTTCAGGAGGTCGTCGCGAATGAGCAAATTGATATCAGAGTCGATATGCGGGTGAGAACTGCTATTAGAATAATAGCGGATCAGCCTCATATCATGATATACGATAAGAAGCGACGTGAAGTAATCCTGATAGA